AGGCATTACTCTTATTAAATAAAGAAAAAAAAGTTACAAGTTGGAGTTCAAAAAAAGTGTATATCCTTTAATTAGATTTTGTGAGCAACTGAGTTACAAGAAAAGTGAGTAGTCACAATTTAGACTTAGAGGGATAATTAATTAGCTGGATAGTGTCGGTACATTATAATAAGCAGGATGAAATTGTTTTTGTATTCTTTATCTCAGTGAGAAAAAGTTGGAAAAAGTTGATTATTGGTATAGTTTATTTACGAGCTTTTTCTGCTATCTATTGGAAATTTGTAATGCTCCTATAGAGTTTACTTCCTCGATTTAAATTTTGACGCTCTAATATACTTTCAGGGAAAAATTATATTTTCTTATATTTGTTTTTTATCTCAATTTGACATCTGCAGAAAAATTGTGATTAAATTGAAAAAAATGGCCATTTACTACTGAAAATATATTTACATAAGTATTTTACACTGTAGTTCTGATTTTTTCTAATTAATCAAAAATAAGTGCAAAAATTTGAATAGTTGTCTGACTAATACTGACATTTACTACTTATTTCTGAACGGTTTGATAGAGTAACATTTACTGCTTAAAAAAAGTAGAATGTAAACTGTTGTGTGACTAAAGTAAAAATATATTACTTCCATGACAAGATAGTGAATTTCAATATTTTTTTGACTGAAATTGATCATTACTACTTAAAAAAATTATACAAGAACTAGAATGCTTGTCGGACTAAAACTTGAAAAAATAATTACCTACTTAAAAGAATTTAAATGTTGTCAAGTTGAAATTGAAGTTTGTTACTTATACAAAAGAAACGTGAAAAATTGTCTGGTTATAAGTGACTGTTACTACTTATACCAGAAACTAATACTTGTCTGAATATACCCGACTTTTGCTACTTAGAGAAAAAATACAAGAATTTTTATCTTCGTCTGACTTAAAAATGATTGTTACTACTGCAAGAAACAATTCCTTACGCTGATGCATGTCTGACTAACATTGATTTTTACTACTTCTAGAAAAAATTGAAAATGTAAAATTTGTCTGACTAAAGCTGACTTTTACTACTAAGTAAATATTTAATTTTTACTATAGAAACGAATATAAAAAAATTTGCATATTGAAGGTTAAAATGTTGAACAATGTACCTCTACTATGTGTATATACTATAAATGATAATTTTGAGGATTGTCTCCTAAACTCTTGGCTTTTTTCAACTTCGAACTCTATTTTACATTATATGCCATATAAGAAAAGGCTTTTGGGAAATTGTTGAAAAATACTTGGGCAAACTACTATCATGAAAGCTCTTGACATGTTGAAGCCCCGTTATAGTCGCACTTTGGTAGCTGCAATGTAAAGAAACGACTTTATTGGCGTGGACAATATATAAGAGAGATACGAAGAGAGAAAGAGAGGGAAAGAGAGTGAGAGTCAGGTCGCAAAAGTTTAAGGGGTGAGCGAATATTTCGAGTAGCGTTTCAAGTATATTGTAGACGTGAGTGAGGGAGTGAGGGTTCATACAAGGGGATTGTGTGTGTGAGGTATAACTTTGTGCTAAACATTGTGCACCATATCATACTTTGTAATAATGTAATGTAAATATATGCATATTGTATAATATTTTGGAGGGATGGATTTCAAGTGTAATCGCAGTTGACAAGCTATGTGCTGTCTAGGTAAAAGCAGTAGGGCTCGTTCAAAACTATAAACTAATTCCCACTCTACTATATATATATATTCAATACTAGGAACTCTCTGCGACGCGAATCTATAAACTATCGTCGACCAAAAGTACTTGTCTTCATTTCAAAACTGACTATTCTATATCGCGAATTTCCTTTCCTACAAATTTTCACTTTGCATTTCAAAATTTACCCCTCCTTTTGCACTTTACTTATTTTTATTTGCAAAAAGTTTTTATTAAAATTTATAAGTTTTATTTTCTTGTTTCCTTGAATCAACAGATCGTAAAAAACTAAAGAGATTTAGTTTTACTTCAAAATTTTAAATTATAATTGAATATTAAAAGCATTATAGCGCGTGAATTTTTAGAAATAATTGAATTTTGAAAAGGGTTAAAATTAAAATCTTTGAAAAGTTGAATGTATAGTTTGGTCGATTTCTTCGTGTTTTATAATAATATTCTCATATAAGTTATTGAATTTGAGAATCTTAATTCCTTTAAAAAAATAATAATGTATTTTTTTTAATACAAAATTTTGTAAAATATGTCAACTTAATTTCCAAGCGTAAAAAAAAGAAAGAGGAAAAAAATGAAAATTAGAAAAATTTCGAAATAGTTGAGTCGAAAATGTAGCACACGGTGAAAAGTTTTTCCTTTTTTTTTTGTCGGCGAGGGCGATAATTAAAAAAGAGGTGTCGGTAGGAATACACACACGTTGCTCGTTACTATCAGTCAAATATATAGATGAGAAAATGAATTCTGAGAGAGAGAAGAATCCTTATCGTTATATATATGCATATATGCACACGTACCCCAATTATTACGCGATTTTCAACAAAGTCGTTTGAGAAAAAGGGAAAAGTATATAGAAGCCCCATGTCGCCACTGTCTGGCATGGCGACTGGTCAGTTTTAAAATTTTCCTTCTCTCTGCCAGAGAAGAGAGACGGTCTTTCTCTAATTAAAATGCGTTTAAAATGGGCACACATTATTAATTGAGAAAGTTGCCTGCCCTCCACTCCTAAAGAGAGAATGCACTGTCGAGTTGAATTTCCGCATTTTGCAAATTATACCTACATTACTTAAACGCGATAAAAAGGGATTTTCTCATCCAGAACCGTTCCGGAAAACAATGCGTCACGAGTTATTATAAATCATTCACAAAACTAGTAAAGTAATAATAAATTCGAAACAGATTTTTAATTTCGGTTTTACGAAATTCATTACTATACCTTTATTACTATTTTCAAAGAAAAAAATAATCTTAGGGGACAAGGAATTCTTTTTTAATTTATAACTATGAGACTATGACTGATTTTTACTACTCGTACAAGAATTGTCAAACTAATTTACATTTTTTTATCAAAAATAAATTAAAATTACTGTCTGACGAAAATAATGTAATATTTTATTTTCTATTATATTCATATAGAATTATTGCACAAAATAATCACTGTCATTATTAAAATCAATGATGGGAGAAAAGTTGGAGAGATAAATTCATAAATGTCTTTAATGAAAATTTATTCAGACGTTGCTAAGCTTTATTAGAGATGAGCGAAGGAGAGGAAAAAATAATTCGACACGTGACTCAGCCGGAAGGCTAATGTAATATTTACCTCTTAAAATAACAATAGGACCCCGCCTTTATATCATTACCATATAATATGTATTTAATGTACAATTTAAAATCTTAATATAAAAATAAGTAAAATAAAAATTTAAAAAAACAATGATGCATCTCCATTGGCACTTTATTATGATCATTTCCTGTCGAAATGAATTGAGAAATAACAGTCATTAATTCTCCAAGTACTTTTCATACAAGAACAAGATTAATATCGAAAGATTATGTTATTAGATTTATTATTTATTATATTCCACGCAAGAGACATTTATTATTAAATTATAACGAGAAAATATTGAGTAAATTGAAAATATAGTTTTATATTAATTTCAGGTTTATTTATTTAATTAATGGGATTTTTAAATTAATTATGTATACGAATTTCCAGTAATTTTCTTCTTGAATTTTTATTTGCAAAGACTGAAACTATATCGCATCTATTATAAAAATTTAGTCTTATGACTGAAATAGAATTTTACTACCCAAAAAAAATTCAAAGAATTTAAATACTCAGACTAAAATTGACTTTTACTAAATTTTATTACTTCTAGAAAACGATTGTCATAATTAAAGTACTTATTCGACGAATATTAACTTTTAACTATGATTTCTTGGAAATAAATATTAAAATTTTACTACTTAAGAAAATATTATTAATAATTTATTACTTCTAGAAAAATTACGGAATTTTTTAACACTCGTTTCAATAAGATTTACTTTTACTACTTCCAGAAAAATTACAAAATTTACACTTGTCTGACTTAAGATTGATATTTACTACTTATAAAAAAACTATTAAAATTTCTCCTTATATGCATCAGATTAAAATTGCAAAATAATGAAAACAGTGTCTGACCAAAAGTCTTTTTTCTACTTTTTGTAAAACAGTTGAGCAAATTTTATTAGTTGTCTGACTAAAACTGATTTTTACTACTTATCAAAGAATTATTTTGAACTAAAATTTACTTTTTCTAGTTTTTAACGAAAATTGCACAAATTTTATAAGTTGTCTGACTATGACTGATTTTTACTACTTATACAATTTATCAAAAAATTTCAAAATAATTCAAGTCTTTTCAAGAATTTTATCAACATTTTTTTCAATAATTGAATTCTTTCGATATTATATGTAATTAAAATTACATATAATATCGAAAATAATTTAATTATCTTGAAGAATTTATTTCAATTTTCTTGAAAATAATGGAGTTTTTTTGAATAATTTTATATTAAAATTATGAATAGATAATTAAATTCCTTAAAAAAATGTTATTAGAGTTTTTCTAAATAATTACATTTTTTGAAAGAATTTCATTAAATTTCGTAAAAATAATGTAATTTTTTAAAATAATTTTAATTAAAAATGTTGAAATTTATTCTTATTATCATTATTTATGAGAATAATGAAATTCTTGTTTAAAATTTTCTTAAAATTATTGAATAATAATAAACAAGAATATTATTTACTTAATAAGTGAATTCTTTAGGTTTTGAGTCTGTAATCATTAAAAAATGGATGTTTATTCTTGAAAATATAAAAATGTTTAATTTACAAAATAATAATAAATGGAATACCCCGTTCCGCGCGTATATTATTCACTAGTATAAAATAAAATATAAAAAAAATGTTTTGAAATATTTTGAAATCCAGAAAGTGACTAACGTGAGAAATAAATTTTTGTTTCAGGTCAGTCCTAGTTAACTCATGGAATGGCATCACGAGGACCCTCGTCGACGGCCCTGCCGGTTGCGATAGCAATGGCGAGTTTGATACTCGCAAGTTTACCAACATTATCTCAAGGAATATGTCCGGCACGATGTCGATGCAATGACACGGCGCTGATCGCGAGCTGCGTCTCAGGAAGTTTGGACGTGGTGCCAATTCAGCTGAACCCAGAGATTCGTCACCTCGACCTATCGGGGAACCGCGTCGTCAGTGTCCATCACACGTTCGACTTCTACGGCAACTTGAGAACACTGAACCTCGCGTCCAACTTGATCCACACGCTCGGCTCGCACAATTTTAAATTCCAATCGACACTCACATCGCTGAACCTCAGCAACAATGTTGTGAAAAACATAACGAAGAATGCCCTGCGTGGACTGAAGCTCCTCCGCGAATTGGATCTGTCGGGAAACAACATCACCGAAATGGAGGAATTATCGTTCCACGACACAAACGAATTGGAATATCTTAATTTGAGCGGTAATTCAATGACCAGTTTGCCCGATGATTTATTGAAGAGTTTACCATTATTAAGAACATTGCTATTGAGTCGTAATGTTCTATTGGAAGTGCCAACGGGAAATTTGGCATTGGTGAAGCCGACCCTCGAAATTCTCGATTTATCGAGTAATCTCATTGAGGAACTTGTTAGTGGTTCATTGCCATCAATGAATGTCCTTACATTCTTGAATTTAGCGGACAATGGAATATTGAGGATAGCGAACGATGCATTCGATCAATTGCCGAATTTGAAAATATTAGATTTATCGGGAAACAAATTGCCCTCGGTGCCTACGGTGGCGATATCAAGATTGAATGTACTGACAACATTGACACTCAATGGAAATCCATTGGAATCGTTGCACAGTGTGGCCTTTCAAAACTTATTTGAACTTAAAAATTTGGAATTAAATAATTGCTCGATAGCCGACGTTCATCCCCGGGCATTCGCCGATAATGTTAATCTCGAGCGTATATCAATGGACGGAAATCGTGATCTGAGGGTACTGCCTGCGAGGGTGCTGTATGGAGCGAGATATCTGAGGTGAGATTTTAACTGCTTCTTCAGAGTGATTTTGAGAAATTGAGGAGCGGAGGAAAATGGAGGAGCTATCGTGAATCCTATCTTCTGCTTTTGGGGTTTTAGAAGGTCCGCTTCTATTTAACTGCGGGTTCAAACGGGATATTTTATTATCGGCTCTCTCAGACTCTCTCTCTCCCCCTTAAAGGGGAATTTCGATTTTTCCTTTTACTATTATCGAGATTAGAGAGCCAAACATTTATTGAGTTTAAGTAAATATCTAATGGGACATTGATACTCAATATTTTATTTTTATTATTTCATGCGGAATCGGAACTTTCAATTTGCGATATTTCTCTTTATTCATTTCAAAACTTTTTTATTTTATTCTCCAATTCATTACCAAACTTTCAGACGAAATCATTAATTTCACTACATTTTCATTTTATAATTAATTTTTCAATTTTTCATTCTGCATTTTTAATTAATTTCTCTGGGAATTTAATTAAAAATAAAAATCATTAAATATTCATCTTGTTATTTATTGTAATAAGTTAAATAATCAATATTCTTATTAAATATTTAAGAATTTTTAAATTTATTTTCTATTTATTTCAAAATAATTTACAATTTTTGGTAAATTTTGTATTTTGCTATCTTTCGTTCCATGAAAATTAATTCAATTGAAAAATTTTCAATATTATTACAAAATAAACAAATTTTATTAATAAAATAATAAAGTTAACGATCACTCTGAGTCAAGACATTTTTAAATAAAATTGAAATTTTATAGCGATAAAAGTGAATTGGAATAAAATATAAAGAAAACTTGAAATAAAATTGGAAATGAACGGATAAACTGTAGAAAATAAACAACAAATATAAAGTTGTGCGAGAGAAAAATTTTCTAATAAAATAAAAAAATTACAGAATAACAGTGAAACACGTAACTGTCACTTACAATTTTATTTTTAATTATTGAAATAGATCGAGAGAGAGAGAAAATTCATAAATCAAAGGGAAAAGAGAGCAAAGAGTTTTCATTAATCAGAAAAATTTTACAAAACTTGAGAAGTTAAAGTTAAATATTGATTTATTAAACCTTGTATTTATTGCCTAAGTTTTATAACGAGCGCCATAAAAATAAATTTTAAATAAAGGAAAAAACGTTAAGGGAGAAAAAATTTTCACCTCTTTGCTTTTTTCCCCTTTTATTTTTACACGTTTTGGTCATTGTGATTTTCTTTCTATTTCTTTTTTTTGTTTTGTCATTTTTTATTATGCTTTTCCAACAAGCACTTTGATCTCAAGCTTCGAAAATTACTTTCAATTTAAGGGAAACACCTCACACGAAAGCGTTCAATAAACTTTTTTTTTGTCAACGACCGTCGTGATGTAAAATTTTTATGACATCACGCGTATAACGTTATTTTTTTTTTTTTTTTTTCTTTTTTTGTTCTTTTCTTTATGTAAGCGCACAGAAATATTGCTAGTACATAAAATCTCGTATAATAAAATTATCAAGATCTGATTTAAAGACCTGATCGGTTGGTCGTAAAATCGCTGCTTTATATCGATTTCTGTCGTTCACAATCTGGTAATAAAAAAATTTAGTTTGAAGTAAATTGAAAAAAAAATATTGTTCCCTCTAAAAATGAAAATTACTTGCTCGATAGTTCGGGTAAGAATGACGGGTAAACTCTATATAAATTTATTAACTCGTTTTATTATTTAATATTATTTTTCAAATCAATTTCGAATTGAAAGAAAAGATAAATAGAAAAAATAGAGAAAAATGTTAAAAATAATTTTCTTATTAAGAAAATTTGAGATTGTAAGTATTTTAAAGAGTTTTATGAATTGAAAAGTCAAATTTCTTCTTGAATTTTTTTTTGAATCATTCTTTAAGAATAGAAAATGTGATTTTCATTTTTATTAGGAAAAAGCTTTTTAAAATCCTCTTGGTAATAGCGTTCAAGTCGTTCACTTGAATATGCAATTTGCTTTTAGAATCGGCTTCTTCTCAGGCCAATCAATAGACTGAATCTTTCAAGAGTTTATAGCGTATAGAAAACGGCTCTATTCAATTTGCAATCGTCTTCTAAAACATAAATTATTTTTCGAAAATTTTTCTCTATATTTAGAATGATAAGAAATGCGAAGTAGACAATTATTTGGCGGTATTTTCAAACTTTTCTTTTCAAACGCTTCCAAATCCTTTGCAAAAATGAATTATTCAAAATTTAGAATTAATTTTATTCTGTATTAGATAAATTCTTCGAAAGTGAGAATTAGAAATTTAAATCACTTGGGATTCTTTGAAATAATTTCCGATGGAAAATCAATCATTCCGGATTTGAGAGAGAAAGAAAATTTTCCAGTTGAATTTACAAAAAAAAAAAAAAAAAAAAATGTATTCCTAATTCGAATAAAAAAATAACAATAGTCTCCCCTTGTGGTGGAAAAAGTAGAAAACAATTTGTCTCGCACAGTGGAAAGAGTAATTTTTTTCTCTTCCCCCATTGTAATTGATAATTGCACGAAATTGCGCGTAGCGAAATGCGACAATAAGCTTTTGCAAATGCGGACACAATTGAATATCCACGTGGCGGCGGTGTCGGGGAAATAGAAACAGCAATTATTCACGCAGCACGCAATTTACTTAGGACTCGATAATGTATAAGGAAATGTATAACAATTGACCAATGGTCGAAATTGCCAAACAATGCGATTAAACTCGATTCTTCTTTTTTGTATGTTACAGGTGGGTCTCCCTGAGGCACTGCAGTCTGGCAACTCTGCAGCCGACTCAGTTCCCCGTTGATGGACTTTCGTCCCTGCGGGTGGGCCACAATCCCCTGGTGTGCAATTGTTCCGTGCACTGGTTATGGAACGTTCTTCGTGCCGAGGAAAGACGCAACGAGACCCGTCTCGATTTGGACGTGCAGGATATTGTTTGTGTCGACGAGGAATTCATCGGCAAGTCACTAATTTCGTTGCCCGAGGGTTCGCTCCGTTGTCGATTGAGTCCTCTCTACCTCTCGCTGTCAGCTGCCGGATGCCTCGCGGCGACCGCCACTATTCTGGCGCTGATAGTTCACGTGACACGGTCGAAGAGAAGAAAACGACCTGCTTACACGGCGCCCAATCGACCTGAACTCCTCGTCTACGTGGGGCGCGGCAACAACGAGCTCGACAAGAACGCCGAGTCCTACAGTCGCCGCCTAATCGCCGCGAGGAACGAGGAGCTGCTCTACGAGACGCCGAGGAGGAAGACGAGTCAGGAGTCGCTGGAGACCGCGACGAGGGACGCGGCCAACGTCTACGAGACGCCGAGGTACTCGCGACCCAACCGTCGCGATCGCGATCCGTATGAGCGGCGACAAATCGAGGAGGGAGTCTATGCCGTGGCGGATGTCACTGGTTTAGCGAGGGATGAGCCGCCGGAAGTACTTTCACTATATCGGATGCGTGCACCGTCATCACTGCCGAGACCCAGCGCACCTTCTGTTCGCGACTATGATTACGAGTACGACTATGAGCCCACGATCCCTCAGAAACCGCACGTGGTTTTCGTGTGAACGTGTGTTTTTCTTCTTCTACTCCAAATTTATTCTTTCATCTAATATTCTCTGAAAGAGAATTTTTTGTGTATAGCTTTTTTTGTGTGAGAACACGACGTTTTAATAAGGGGCACAAAGGGAAGGTGTGAGGATTTTTTTCGAAAAGGGTCCAGTGTGAAGACTGCGTTCCTTTTATTATTTTTTTATTCTTGCAAAAACAATTAGTTCGCCGTGAATGAACTCGACGGGAATGGAAAAGATTTATTCATGTTGAAAAATAAATGGGAATATTTTTATTGAGCTCTCTTTATCGATATTTTACTAAAATTGAAATTTTAAACAAATGCAAGTTGAAAATACAAAAATGAAATGAAAAATTAAAAATACAAATTGAAGATTCTGGAAAAAATTCTAGAAAAAAATTAAATAGTCTAAATTAAAAGTATAGATAAAAAATTGTAAAATAAATAAATTAATGAAAAATAAAACTATTGCGAAGGAACTTAAAAATTTCCGAATAAAATTGAAAACTACGGAATCAAATTAAAAAAGTTGGAGTGAATTAAAAACTTTTTAATTGAATTCCACAATTTTTTCGATTTCAATTGGAAATTTTTAATTCCTTCAGGTTTTATTTTACTATTATCGATTTTTAATTGTTTTTTCATTTTATCTGAAAGTTTTACAAATTTTTAAACTTTTATTTTTAACATTAAATAACATTGGTTAAAGAAAATAAAATTACAATTGTTCAAGTTCATTTATTTTTTTAGTGAAAGTTTTAAAAAAGAATCAAATTAGTTCGAATAAAATATAAGAAACTGATTTTTAAAATAACAAAAGAGTCATTCATAGAAAAGCAATTTGCAATATTCGAAAAATATTATCCAACATGAATTATCCTGGCCAATTTTCCTACTGCTTTATTATTACTAACAATTGCACCTGGTAATTCGAAATGTAGGATATAATTTATTTCCTAAACAAAAACTTTTGTAGCAGATAATGAAGCACTTATGGAAAATTGGATGAAGATAGAAATTCCAAGATTGTTAAGCGAGCGATAATCCATTTTCACTCCTTTGGAATTCCAAGAATTCACCCCTCTCCCCCCTGTTAGAGACTGCTCACATTTTGTTACATAAGTTTATTAACTATTCGCATTGTAAATATGATTTTCTAATATATATGTATATTAATTATCAATTATTCGTTGCGTTGATTTGTTAAATCTGAATTAGTAGAGATTTATAGATATTCGTAAAATGAAGTAAAAAATAAATTCTATTAATACTTGGAAACAATTTTGAATTGCTTTTTAAAAAATTATTTTATTGAATAATTAGGTATTACATAGTAGTAAATTAACTTTGATAATTTTTTTTTGTTTATTACGTCAATAAAATTGATACAAAAATACAAAAAATTGGAATTAATTGATGTTAATTAATTTTACATTCAGTTCAACTAATATTACTTTGATTAAATTATTTCGGATAAAGTGTAAAAAAAAGAAAATTATAAATCTCAACCAATTCAGATTCGTGGTTTCAAAATTATAGTTTTTGAAAAAAACTTTGTCTCTCGAGAACCTATTTGTAAATGACGTTATTCCTTTCCTTTTTTAAATCACTGCCGATATTCTCTTTAAGCTGTGGTTAATATTAAGTATATTTTTTATCGACTGAATGAGGATCGACCACGGACGCAGGAAGTGTGGGGTTTTTTTTAAACAAAAAAAAGAAAGATACAAATGAAATGTCTTCCGAGAAATTGCGCCGCCCGGAGCAGAAACCGTTTCAGGGCGAACGTTCGTTCTACATTCTACGTAGCGATAAATCAAATCAAAGCAGCATCTCGTTAGCCACGACCTAGCCTTGTTTAATCCGCCTAGAGACTAGCATTGCTCGGAAGCATTGCGGCTTTTAAAGATGCGATTCGGCAAATGTGACTATACACGGGTCGTGGCGAGTCTGAGATAGAGAAAAAAAAACAAAAAAAAAGAGGGATAATAAACGAAATGAAGGACGCTTAAAGCGCCACAAGAGAATTAAAAAAAATTAATTTTTTCGAGAGAGAACGATAGAGTCAAGTGTGAATGAGAAGAAGAGCGAGAGAGCGAGAGAAAGAAATTCTTGTACACATTGAATAATAAAGAGAGTGCTTGTGAATTTTCACGGTCCCCTTTTTTTCGTGCCACATGCAAATCAAGAGCAATAACGAAATGTAATAATATAGTCACACCACAGACTTATATTATACACGCGCATTTATAAATAAATATAATATAATTATACATAATTTACTTTTAAGAATTTATGAAATACAAATAGTGCGTACGTGATACGGTAATAAAAATATATATATATATATTATATACATATATTTATTTATTAATTTACGATGTTACGTTTTGAGAGACGCTGTTACGTTTTTGAATAAATGAAAAAGAGGAAAAAAATGAAAGTTAAAATTTTAAAAAATAACGAGAAAGACAAGTGCAAAAACAATTTCTAGAAAAATGCGAGAATCGAAGAATATTTTTCAATTACCCTTGTACCGTAAAACGGAGCAAAAAATTTTTTTTCTTCTTTTAAATGGTTTTAAAAATCTTTCTTTCTTCGACAAAAATTTTTCTCAGCGAAAAAATAATTTTGTTGCAAACTATTCTTTAACTAAAATAAAATTCGTTAAAAAATCTATTTTGAAAATTAATCTGGAGTATTTAGAAATATTGTAAAAATAAAATCTTTAGAAAAATGGTCCTTTTATTGAAATTTGGGAATGTGTCGATGATAATTGTAAAAAGGGGTATTTCTGGTTATTGACTATTTAATGATATTCGTTCATGGAAGGAGGAGAAAACTATTTGGTACGGAAATGACAAAAGTCAATAAACGAGAATGTTGATGACACTATATTCCTCTCCATTTAGTATGGAGATTTTAGTAGAGAGAGAGAGAGAGAGAGAGAGAGGAAGAAGAAGAGTTTTATGCTCCACACATTGCAAATGCACTGACTGAAAACGAATTCCGCGCTTTATTTTTGTAAATAAGTCTTCTCGAGTGACTCTTGTTCTCAGTCAGTACATTTTTACTCGGTACAAAACCAATATCTGTTCTCATCAGTGTATTCTCAATTTTTCTAACTGCGGAAGTAAAAAATATTTTTTATTCATTTCTTTTTTAATTCTAACAAATACGAAAGATATTTTTTTCTCATGATTCTCATCTGACTAACCCTCGCTTTACTTGAGATTCTTTGGTGGCACTTAGCTTAGCTCGTTAGTCATGCTACGTACATCTTGTACAGGGTTTTTTTTATTTTACTCTTTTTTTAAGGAGATGAGACACAAAGAAAAAGAGGGAACGGATCAGGCTCGTAATCAGAAAAAATTCAGGTTGCTCTGATATCACTAATTTTTTTTATTTTTTGTAATCATACTCAAGAGGATAAACAATGTAACAAAATTTACAAAATTTCATACTAAAAGATGTTCTTCGGTTTCAAATTATTATTTCTCAATCAATAAATTCCTCGAGAACTTTTGTGCCAAATGATACGATAGAGGAAAATTTTTTTATTTTCTTTGAAAGAAAAAGACTTTTTCTATTTAGCTAAAAAAAATGAAGACGACATTTATCGACAATAATAATTCAAAAGAAAAATTTCCCTCTACCGTAATCGAGGAATTTCCCAAAATAATTTCAAACAGTAAAATAATAATTTGAAAAATAATTTTTGTCATATTTCAAAAAGTAATTATATCAAAAATTGTTCCAATTTAATATAGGAGTATAAAATATAGAAAAATAAAGCTAAAATAATTAATTAATTTGATGACAGAGCACCCCAAGAGATAAAATTATATTTGATGAATTGTTAAAGATTAAAAAAATAAAAACCTTGATACAAATTGTTTCAAAATAAAACAAATAGTTCAGAAAAAGAAGTTTAGGAAAATCGTTACAAAAATATAAATAGATAAATTAAGGTCCAGACTTTCATCGTAAAGATAACAAATTTTCAGACATGAGAAAAAAATACATTTAGTTAATAACAAAAAAATTCAATGAAGAAAAATATATAGGTACGTCAGTTATAATCAGTGGAGAAATTGAGATCTTTATAAACAAAATAGTGTATAATAAATGAAAAATATTTGAATGACATTCGCGCCTGTCTCATTTTAAAAAATTAATTCAAAATTTTGTGAAAATAATAAAGAAAATAAAGAAAATTATAAAAAAACTCCTATTTGTTTATTAACTTCCTTCATGGTTTTATAACAAAAATTAATTAAAATTAGGTAAGTGTATTTTTTTAACTAACTGAAAATACAAATTAAAAAAAAATTTATTCCTTTCTTATGAATAACTATTTATAAAAATTAAAGCGAAATCTTTAATTTTTCAAATTTTCTTGTTTACTAAATGTAGTATTTAAAGTTTGTTGTTTTGAACTTATTTTTGAAGATTAAATATATGCGTCGACTGAATTGTGATTAAGCAACGTTTTTTGCTCTTTGAAAGCTCGTGTCACCATTTCCAAGGGATTCCGATTTAACACCAGCTTTTTTCGCTGGAAACTCGCATCAAGTTATTTTTATATGTAACAGACGCACCCAAATAATGTTAAGCGTTTGTTACATCCTTTTAACGTTCGTCCGAACGTCTGTTCACGCCTTTTGACACCTCGTGTGTCTTGTCATTCTCGTCTATCATTGTCGTGTCTCACATTGTCATCAACATCTCAAACTGAAATCTCTAAATTTTTCTTTTTTCTCCTTTCTTTTGTTACCCACCATTTCTCTTCTAAGCTTCTCTTTTCTCTACTCTTTTCCGTTTATTGCTTAAATTAATAATTAAATCTACATTACTAGTGAAATTGCTTCTTTTGTCATAGTAGAAATTGAAAGCAAAAAAGGAATTTTTATTTTTAATTATAAAATTAAAACAAAAATCACATACTTTGATAATATCCGTTTTTGTATTTCTGTCTGTAAAAATTTGTTTAGAAAAGTCCAATAAAAGTTCCGCTGTATCATCATTTATTGTTTTATCCAATTTCCGATTACATGGAGAGAAATCTAAAAAGCAAAGTAAAAAAATAAATGTCTAAATTATTAGAATATGAAAAGTGCTTTTAGGCAGAGAGCTTTCGAATCTAAATATCAGTAATTTGGAAGATTCTAAATTTAAATGCTTTCAATTTCGAAGCCATTTATAATAGATGTGGAAATTGCTTCTGATTTCTAAACCTTGAAAATTTAAAAGCTTTCTGTCTAAAAGCGTTGCGTGATTAATTTTTTTTCCTAAAGAAAAATGTAGTTTTAATCTAAACAATAGTATAGCTCTAATTAATAATAAAATTCTACATTTGTTATTTTTTAAATTATTATTATTACATTAATGTTGATAATTACCAGTAGTCTAAGAGTTGAGAATTATTCGACTTCTAAACGTTTGCGAACAGAAGCTTAATTTCAGTGAAAGCATTTTGCAGAAAGAGAAATTTATTTAACGTTTTCCTAGTTCCATTGGGTTCGGTTTCATTTATGACAAATTGCACCTTGTTAACGCCTTGTGAGTTGAAATGGAGCATTCCTTTTAGCGTGTCGACTTTCTTTTGAAAATCCCAAAAAATAAAAGTGATTTGTAATGACAATCATCACTTTTTATCGCCTTTCTCGTTTTCACTCTCTCCTTCTAGATATTCACTCGTTTCTATTTCTAGAAAATAAAAATATTAAAATAAATTAATATAATTATTCAACAATCACTTATTATGACAATAATTAATTTTTCATTTAAAAGGAATGACTTAATATTTTTATGTAAACATTTTTCATTTTTTAACGTAAAAAATAAATAAATGCATGAGAAAATATTATTAGAGATTTTGTTGTGAATTTATTTAATTTTCGGATAAAGGATCATTATTTATTTTAATTGTGTTTTGGTCTCGTTTTTCCCCCAACTTATCTTCTGCTTCCACCTATTTCCTTAACCACTTGACCCTTTTTCCTCCCCTCTGACAGTATTTCTTTTTTTCGAAATCCACCCTTTTACAGTCCTGTGTCGTTCTGTGAAGGTCTATAATTTATGTCGACCCTTTTTGTTTCAGTCGCATGCATCTAAATATGTGAAGATGTATTTCACGTGTTGGAAGATTCATCCTGTCAAAATATATGTCCCTGCTAGAGCGGAAATTTAGTAAGCCCAGGTGCAGAATTTTCGGCAGTTCACAGAATAATTTGTTCATTTTGAAACCACCAGAGATAAAAATAAAAAAAGAAAAATGATTGGTAGTATCGTACACAAGGGACGTAGACCTCTTTTTTTTTGTTAAATCCATTTTTTGTTAACGACTGCTTTCAGTATTAGTGATAATTTTAAAAATTCTAGAATTAAAAAATCTCTATCACTAATTTATCAATTTAATTATTTCTTACATCAATTTTATATTTTCTACAGAAAATTAATAATTAATCAAATTAATGATTTTTTAAAAACAAATTAAACAATTTAGTGACATTTTTAACAATCATTCTTAACAGAAAAGTTTAATTCCCGATCAATATTCAATTTGACAATTTTATAAGCTTATCTTTTAAGACTAAGAAGTTTTAAAACTTGAAATATCTTCCTTTTAAAGTTATCTATTCAAAGCTCCGAAGAGTTTAGGAAAATTGATAAGTTCAGCATCTTCTTTTAGGCGCACACAAAGCACCGTTTTAATTGAAAAAAAATTAATTATTAAGCCAGTGACATCAAAGTACAAAACCACTTTTTCATCACAAAAGGAAATTTCTTTTCACTTCTTTAAATTCATTATAATTTTACTAGTTATTCCAATTAATTAAGAAATTCAAATTAAATTAAATTAAACTAATTAAATCAATTAATTAATTTCTTGCAGACAAATCAATTATTTATCAAAGTAGAAATACATTCTTTTTAATATTTAATTTCAAAATAAATATTAACTTTCTTATTCAATGAATAATTAATTTCTATCTATGCAAAATGTAATTTACATTTTTCAGTTTAATAAAATAAGTTTGATTAAAATTTGTTTAATTTAAAAACACTAATATTCTTCGTTTATAGTTTACGTTCGCATTGTTAATTATTTTTTATTTAAACTGAAAGAAAAAGATAAAGAAATAAAATAAAATATTGAAAATAAAAATAAAAGCAAAATAAATGAAATTAAAAAAATTTTTTGTTGAATTCGTGGTAAAAATAAGTTTGTAAAAAGCAAAATTCAATCGATACTTTAAGAAAGTGAGTTCTGTCACATTATACATTGAAGGAGACTTTAATGAAAATTATTTTTCTTTTTCCCACCGACAACTTTTCCATTGATTATTTATGAGGCTAACGAGTTGAAAAGTTATGCAAATAATTTTTTCCAAAGCTGCGCATTTTCAAAAGTTCAATAATGATTTGAAAAAAAAACAGTTATGAACAAAAAAAAATATAAAAAAGAAAAATTTAATAACAAAAAAAAATATTCTCAAAGTAAATGAAATTAAATGTAAGAATGCCTTTGAAAAAGAAAATTATAATCAAATGATGTGAAAATAATATAGAAAATATATAACATAAAAAATAAATAGTAAAAAAATTAAAAAAGAAAATAAATAATAAAGTTGAATATAGGATAAATAATAAATAGGTATAGAAACACAAATAAATTTTGAATAAATAAAAATAGAAAAAAATATAGAATAAAAAGTAAAAATAAGTATAAAATATTTATATTAGCTGACACATAAATTTTGTTTTTCATGAAATTTTATGTTACGTAAATATCAAAGTAATTTTGTAATAATTTAGAGCTTTCAATTAAAATCTGCCTGACTCTATTAGTAATTTCTGACTAATTACTCCAGTAATTATGCGAAACTTTCAGGAAACTGCAATTTATTTTCATTTTTAATCCTAAGCTCGAAATCACGTGTACACTTTGATATTTCAAACGACGTTTCAGAAAATCAGTAGCGCAGATATAACTTTATCTGATTACTCTTGACATAAAAATCGTTTCAAAGAATCAAAAGTACAGGCATTTAATGTAAAAGAAAATTAAATTGCAAGAGATATATAATTTTTTTTACGTTACGCATGTAACTTTCATACTTTTTATTTAAAAGTCTCGATAAAAAGTTAAAACGCAAAATAAGCCATGATCCCTCTCTTCTATTAATTAATTTCAACGTTATTAAAGAAACTAAAAAAAAAATCGAAAAAATTAATTACCCAATTAAACATTTTGATTTTTAAAATAAAAAATATGACCAAAAGTTGATTTTAAAAATAATAGAAAATCCTCGTATAAAATTGAATTAAGAATTAGCGAAAGAAATTCAATTAGAAAGAAGGAGTGAGAGTTGATCTTTGATTCGAATGAAAATATTGAAAAGAAAAAAAAGAATCAGCAATGTTTGTGTAAAAAGATGTCACGTATTGACTGCAGAGAAAAAAATAGAGAGAGAAAAGTAGCTCAGCTTTAGTTTGCACAAATTGTTCTCACCTGCGACCATCGATAGGAGTGTGTGTGTATATAACAATATCGTACAATCCATTCCGGTTCCAAAACGAATCTTCACGTTCTTCCGGAAGCTAGGCGCAATGTCGGTGGTGGTGACAGTGAATCGTCGGGGAGTTTTGATTTTCCTGGTTGTCTCGATGATTTGCATGATGGCTGCGGACCCCATTCAAACGTCAAAACTCACCAATAACAATGACATCGATGACAATGAATCGAACGGAAATGAACTGCAATCTCGCAAACACAAATATCATCTTTTGCGTAAGTTCTTCTTCTAATCATCATCTACAAAAAAAATGTAGCCAAATTTTTTTATTTCATTCAAAAAATAATTGTTCTTTCAATATTTCTAGATTCTACTTATATTTTTTTTAAATAAATAATTTATAATACTAATGATTTATTCACTTAAACATTATTATCGTTATGTAATTTTTTTTAGAATCCAAATTTTTTTATTGATTATCATTATGGAATTTTATACCTATAATTTACCATTTCTATAAATTATTATAATTTTTAGAAAATTCTTCTTTTTATAGTTAAATTTGTTTATAAAAATTTGAACTTATTTAAATTATTTATTTACAAATGTAAATTCTGTTGTCACACTGAAAATTCTGAAAGAACTTTGATAACTTGGAATTCTAGAAAAACGGAATTTTCAAAATTTATTCGAAAATTTCAAACTAAATAATATTGAATTTTTAATTTTTTTTTCTACCACCGTCAGCTATTTCTGTTTTGAAAAAACATTTTAAAAAGTGTTATCACAAAGATAAATTGAAAAATTATAAATTTAACACAAGCTTTACATTCACATTGCTTTTTCAAATTAAAAACGTAACATTTTTAAAAGGTTTACCATTATTTTACATAAAACCAATTTAATTTAGAAAATTAAATTAATTTCCAAAAAATCCAATTAAAAAAGATTACTTGTTTCAGTATTTTCTGAATGAAAAATAATTGAATTCAAATAGAAAAATTGCATTCGTTTCGAGAGCTAAAAATTGGTGAAAGTCAAATGACAAAATTGAAAAAAAGAACAAAAATTAAATTTTTTTTGCTTCACTTTTAAAAATTAAAACTGAATGGAAAATAAATTTGGCTACATTCGTGAATTATTTTGAAATCACATATATTGTGGATAAAGGAAAAAAGAGAACTGCGAAGTAAACATTGACGTTTTTTCCAGCGAGACACTGTGGATTCAGCAGCGCTTATCTTTATCCGTCTTTCCTCTCGCGTAATTACATATTCACTTTTATCATTACAACTCGACTTACACCAATGTTTTAGCCCAGGGAACGAACTGGGGAATTCTATTTTACATACATGATTTACATAATTACATTTGCATACCTTCGTTTTCTATATTATACCACTTTACACTCTTGTCCTATATGCGGGGCCGGGTGTGAATCCTAAAGCGATTCGAATGCATAGTGAAATAATAGACTTCTCTTTCTCTCTCTGTTCTCTCCTTCGTCCACAGTTTTGGGCGGTCTCAAGGGTTGGATAGCTCTGCTCCTAATAAAATTCAAAATCGTCATCGTGTCCTTCACCGTTGCCGCAATCGTCATCGCCACTCTCAAATTCGTCGAAGTCTTCAAATACAGAACAACGCCCTACTCGAGTCCTCATTACATCGCTCATGAACCTGCTTATGATTTTGGTATGAGACCTTTTTTTTGAAATTCTTTAATTAAATATTAAATTTAACAATATTAACTAATTATGTACTAACAATAAAATTATTATAAAATCCATTAATTATAATGATAGTAATAACAATAATTTACCATCTCGTGATTTGTTTAACCTCCTCTGCCTACGAGTACACAGTTAGGAGAAAAATAATTCCTTTTGCTTTTGGTGTTGACCTTTTGTTTTTTAAAAAAACTCCCCTCATCACTTCACTCGGGCGACATCAAAGTTAAAAGTCAGAAGACCTTTAAGTTGAGTAGACTTCTTTTACAGTTTACCTTTTACGGTAAACGTTCAAAGGTAAATTTCCATTTTTTGAGGACACTTGAAAATTTCGGAGTCCGCTTCTAAAAGACAAAAGGAGATTATTATTTAATTATGTAAATTTAATTAAATCATTGCTTCTTAAAGAAACTAAAATTCTAATTTGCTTATAAATAGGATCACCTATTCATTTGGATCATTCGTCGCACGATAGATATGGAAACGATTGGTCATCATCAAACTCCTATTCTCAAAGAATTTCCACGAAGACACACAAGCCGACAAAATTCACTGGTGGAAAACGAAGTTCAACACAAAAGCGACGATAAAGAAGAAGAAGAAATTCTAACTATTGTAATTATTTGTAAATAAAAATTATTTATTGTATATTTATTTAAAGATGAAAGTATTTTCAAACTGACAAATTAAAATAAGATACTACTAGGTCCGAACACTATTTTTCTATAAGGTTTTTCTTGTATTTAGTAATTGAATAAATCCATTTTTTGTTAAAATAATTAATTTACTGGAAAGTATATGCATATATTCTTTCCCCCAACTGTACATTGTTAATAGATTCATCAATGATTCTAAAGAATAAAACACAGAAATAGAATTTTTTTGCAGATGTTTAAAAATTAATTTTAAACACTAATAATTTTATAATTAAAGATATAAATCAAAGTCGATTCGTGCTGCACTGTAAAATGAACCCGCTTGTCCTGTTTTACGAACCCAAGCGCCTTTTTTAAAATAACCCGCTTTCGACCATGACAGCATTTTTTCCGTCTTATGAGGTCCACTAACTTCTGCATTATCATTTTGTGACCACTTCAATTCCCAGGTGACACATTCTTTTTCATCTGCATTCTGTTCTGCACTCTCTTGTTCTGTTGAAAAGTTATTCAAAAAATTAAACTACCACAATTTGACAAAAAAGAGAAGAATTTAAAAAATTAGAAGAAATACATTTTTTAATTATAAATAAATTATAATTAAAAAATAAATAAATTATAGCGAATTTGAAAATTGGGTAATTATAATTATTTTTAATTATTGCAGGATAATTTAATAAAATTATTCTGTCATTTAACTCAATGTTTAGTTTTTCTTTCGCTAAATGTAATCGTTTTGGAAACATGTTCGTAAAAATTAATCAATATTGTAAAAAAAATTATTTTGAAATTCTCACCTCCAGTAGTATTTACATCCAATTTTTCTTTTTCCTTTTCATCAAAATCATCCGCGTACATATCAAGTTCCGCTTCCGCTTTTGGTGGCTGAACCTGTAAATTTCGATTCTTCATAAAAATGTAAATATTGAATAGAAAATACAATACCTTATAAATAAAAATAATAAAATTGTTAATAAGAATTTATGAATAAAGTTAGAAATGTTAATTTAACAATTATTCAATTAGAATTGAATAAATCTAATTTCTTGATAAAACTGAAGATAAAATAATTCGAAAGAAAATAAAATTACCTTCTTTTTAATTTGTTCATAACTTTCTTCGTAAATGTCCATATTTCCAGTTCGTGTGAGTAATTCGTTAGCAAATTCAGTAAGTTTAGTAATTTGAGCGGATTGCTCCTCGTCCTCCTTCGCCAAAGACGGATCCTTCTTCCTCTTCCATCTTTCCGCTGTTGTCAATTGTTTCTTTCCTTTTCCCAATCGGCAAAGAGCTTTTTTAACCGTCTCTCCAGGTTGAAGAAATTCCAAAATTTGTTTATATAATGGAACCGGATTAAACAGACGATCTGGATCTTCATCACTGTCACTGCCACTATCTCCAATGCCCTTCGACATTTTCTCCTTACTTTTTCTATTCTTTGCAAGTTCAGGTTTCACCTACATTTACATTACATTTTGTTATTCTTAATTGTTATTACAAACATTTATTGATTAATCAAAATAAATAATTTAAATTCAGTTAGAAACAGAGGAAAATAAAAAAAGAGTATTAAAACCAAAAATAGAAAAATAAATATGTGAAAGTCATTTGATAGAAGAAAAATGATATACCTTAACCCAATCTATATTATCCAACCAATGGTCTTTTATTTGTTTCTCTTTTTTCAAAAGATAATGACCCTCTTTGTCAAAATGACCTTCCTCGAGTTCTTCCTTCATATTGAATGCCGTGAATCCAATATTTGCATCAGCACTTGGACCTTCTTCGTGACCTGATGACGAAAAACGTAGAAATGAAAGAGAATATTTTCAATTATAATTTAAATTAAAATCATTGTGATTTTTCCAACTTCATTAGATTTTTAAATTCTAGTTTATATTTCAATTAAACTGAAACAAAATTAATTTGGAATTTCTAAATTACAATAAATCAAAATTTTACCTTCAAAATCATCGTCATTCATGACATTGTATGCCTCGTCCTCGACTTCATCGTCATCTTCATCAGAATCCAGTGAATTTTTAAATGACACTCCAGCGACATCCATTTGTGGCTGAACATCAATTATATCATCAAATTTTCTTTTCGGCATTTTGGAAAACTATTTGATAAAATTTAAAGCTTTTTTCCACAAAAATTATCCTTCGCTCCAAAACGTTAACTTTTCTAAAATATAATAATTATTATTACAAATTTTTCATAACAGTTTCAAAATTATGATAAGAATTTAGTGCCCTTTGAACATTAATAAAAATAATAATTTTGCTATTTTTTTTAAATATAAAAAATAAACATTTTAGAAATAATTCTATACCCTAATATAGGTTAGGTTTTAACCACTTGCGTGATTTGACAGCTCGTCAAATTATTGTAACTCACCTTTGAATTTTTAGAGTACAGAAAAGTACCGGCGCAAATATTATTCATAAACTTGATTAATTGCGCGTCAGAAATTTATCAGTACTCCAGAAAATAAAAAAATGTTTATATCTATAGACTTTCAAGTACACATAAACATGAACTGAAATTGACGTCAATTTCAAGAACTAATTCAACTTGTATGGTAACTGTCGGTAAAAATGGTTTCAAATGGTAAATCACAATTTATCACAGAAAATTTACAATTTAACACGATAGATATCACTATCAGTATGAAATTTTCATTTCTCAATAAAACATTACTTCTCCTTTAATTACAAATTGAAATATTCATTATAAATAAAGAAACGATATTTTGAATATGAAATTCAGTAATTTTTTCAGATTTGAACCCCTGTCTTTATGCAATTACTCCCGTGAAGCTGTACTCTATACAGACGTGTAGAACGGGTAGCAAAATTTATAAAGTACATAGTGAAGTTTTAATTATTAAAGTACCATAATTAATTAATTAATTAAATCGAAATCGAAAAAAATAAGTGAATATAAAGATTTTATTAAAGGAAAAGAAACATTTATTAAAAACTTTCGAGTATTTGAGAAAAACAATTTATGAACGATTGCAATTTATCTTGTTTTATATATGTATATATACGAGAGAAGAAAACTTTTTTTTCCAATTTATTTAAGTTTCTTTCAAAACTGTAACTTTAAAAGTACACTTCTTATCATTAAATTGACTTACATTGAAAGAAAAATATTGCTTGAAAGGGTATAAAAAACAAAAAAAAAAGTTTTAATTATTCTGAGTTATAATTGGTATATATACATACAGAAAGTTAATAAATAATCATTTTTCAAATCTAATCATTTTTTGTAGTATTAATCAATTATTGCTCATATATAAATTCAAGTTTTTTATAATATAAACTCTCGTGGTTAAATAAATATTTCTATAAACTTTATAATTATATTGTTAAAATAATAATGAATTTTATTGTTTAAAAAAATTGAGGCATTGTGCAAAAACAACACAATATGTTGTACAAAGTTAGCCACCCCTTTCCGTTTGTACTAAATAAGTTATATAGTTTGTATCTAAAACTTTTACGGCACCACATTTCGCACACTTCTGTGTATAGGTAGTATATTGAACATCAAAACTTCCAAAGCCTCTAAAATTTGAACAATCTCAGCAATAAATGTCTCTATTCGATTTTTTCCATTTGATTTAAACAATAATCTTAAAATTATTGAAAAATTTTTTTATATTACTTATGAATATACCCTGAACTAATATCGAAATATTTCCTCCCAGTGTTGTGCCATTTCCGCAAAAAAAAAAAATAAAAAAAAAATAAATCCCGGCATATATATTGCATATTATTTTTCTGTTATTGTCAAAATGAAATGCTATTGAAAAGCATACAGAATTATCAGTGACATATGCATATTCTTTGCATTGACAAATCTTGAAATTTTATATAGAAAAATATTTTCGAGGCGGATAAATCAGAAGTGGTTGGAGGTAAAACAAATATTCCAGGAGGATTCGATTTATGATTATTGGTTTCTGATTCTGTCAAACTTTATATATATATATATTTATATCCATATGTGCGTATTGTGTTTTAGTGATAGTAAAAGTCGATTATTTATCAGACACATGTGTTTCTGTCGTTTTGCAATTGCTTGGAATTTCAATCAGTGTCCTTTGATCATTTCCTTTTGAAATATCCTTTTAATTATAAAAATCTTTTGCGTTATTTCATTATGACATATTGAAAAACACTCAATCTTTCTTTTTTTCAATTTTTATAAATATTTGATAGATTTTTTTTAAGTGAATGAAAATTAATTTTTTATTGAATAGGTGAATTTTTCAGTAATCAAATTAAAACATTTGAAAATTCTGAAACTTCTCTTACTGTCGATACCAATTCAACTTAGTACGAATTAATAAAACTACAGTAAATAAAAAAGGGAAAAAAATGACGCCCAAATTGTAAGCGTTTTTCATGATAAACCGAAATGCTTTATTTTTGAATAATATCATTTTGCGATATAGTAACGGCAATATAGCATCCGGAAATTGAATGATATAGGAACTGCAGAATGACATTATATGGTAGATATATGCGTTTATACATATACAACGAATCTTTAGATGAGTTTATAGATACAAAAGCGACAACAATATTCTCGTATTAAATTTTGGCTCGAAAACGTGATACTATAACACATCGAAATGCATTTTTTTTATTTTAAAAACTACCGCTTCAATTTTTTCTAATAAATATATTATATGTATCTACATAACTTTTTCTCACAACTAAAATAAGTTAATAAAAAAATTAATATACATCCACAGTAGTCAAAACTTTTGGTGATAAGAATACTTATATTTTTGTGATAATAAATAACAGTTGTAATTAAAAATATTAATTTTAATAATACTTGAAAAAAGTGGTTCTATTTGTCAAAATAAGTAAAAGTATATTAATATACGAATTACGACGAAAAATTTCAGAGGAAATAAAACTGTTAAATTTTGTAATAGCGTTTATAATAAATAGTAAAGAGAATCTGTATATGAATAGGAAGAATAGAGAGGAAGACAATAAAAGTTTAAATTCGATTCGGAAAGGAAATTAAATTTTATCGTCAAGTAGTATTTCCGGTGAGCAATACTCAACTAGAGGTATAGAAATAAATATAAAACATAAGTTTTTGTATAGAATTCAAAAGTTTTTTTTATGTTTTAAACTTCAAATTAGCAGTATTGGATATCAAAGTGAATTCTTTTTAACAATAAAAATTGTTCGCCTAAAGATTTTTCTTTATAAATGAAAATTGAGAGACCAGAGACGATACTTGATTCGCCTGTTACGTTCTTTTGCGCTCGAGTTTTTTCTTTCGAATATATATTTATTCGACAAACAAATATTTCTTGATAATAGAATCATTTTTTGTTACTTTCTTTTATTTTTAATCTACAAGTATCTATATTGATATAAATAAAATAATTATCGTATCTTTATAATTTATACTCAGGAAAACTATTTTGAAAAAATAACGATTAAAAAAATTTGTTTAATTTTTAGTGAGGAAGTGATTAATAATTATCGTAATTTGAAATTGTTGAAGATTATGTCGATTGCAAGCAACTTTTACGATTCATTTCACTTTTGAGAGGCGAATATTGTTGTTGAAGAATGAGCATAATTATTTCAAGTTTTTCCGCCCACATGAAAAGTAAGTGCCAAGAGCAGATGTACTAAATCGAGGAGATTTCGAGAGGATGAGAAGGATAAGAGAGATGAAGTCTTATATAAGCAAGTTTTCTTCTCCCTTATAAATTTTAATATATATAATAATAAGGCATTCCCTATGGAAACACATCTTGAAAAATTTACGCTGTAAGTCCAAAAATATCTTTTCACAATGGATCAGCACTTTCTCTCCCTGCTTTTATGTACAATATCTTACAATATCTTATCTTATCGTTATTAAACAAAATTATTCTCTGACAATTTATACAATTTTTCTATCAAGCTTTCTCAAGTAAAATAAATTAAATAAATTACCTACATGACATAATGATGATAATGGATAAAAAATTTGCCGTATTTATACGAAGACAAATTTAATAAAAATGCGTGATTCATAAGAAATTTTCAAAATTATTTTTATCTTCAATTTTTTCAATTTCTGACAATAATTTCTTTTTAAATAACTCAAATCTTCAACAACTACACTGCAAAAATAAGTATCTTATTTGATATCTTAAAATAAGATGTAAGATGGAAAAATGGTATCTTACATCTTAAAATAAGATGTTTTCTAAAGTATCTTACTAATTTTTAAGATGTTTTATACGTCTTAGATATTTCTTCTATCTTAAAAAAGTAAGATACTTCTGTAAGTTTTTTAAAGTATCTTATTTAAGATGTTTCTGTCTCAATAAGATGTTTAGCGATAAGATACTTGTGAATTGTAAGATGCGAAAAAAATTTAAGTTACTAAAAACTAAGATGCATAAAATGTCTTACATATAAGCCCATAGTTAACCTCAAAACTTTTTTCCCAAAAAATATGATGAAAATGTGTACGAAGATACTTTAAACATCTTAAATTAAGATATTTTAAATAACTTAAAAGTGACTACAAAAACATCTTAGAAATGACTACCAAAACATCTTAAATAAGATACTTCTTTTTGCAGTGTATCATAAAATAATGACATATAAAATAAGTATTAAATGAATGATTTTACAATTGATTGCAGAAATTCTATTACTTTCAAAAGTAATAAAATTCTTATCACAAAATTTAATTGTGTTCAAAATTGAAAAAAAATCTCGTCAAAATCCCAATTATCTTTAAAAATAATAAAATTCTTCTTTAAACTTCAATTATTTTCAAACATTTTCCTCGTTTCAATAATTTTCAATATGAAAATTAAAATTAAGAATTTTCTATAAAAATATTAAGAAACGGGAATATGTAATGTTTTCTTCCCAAAATAAAAGAATGAGTTTGTGAACAATATTGTTATTGAGAAATAAAAATAATAAAATGGGTATTTATATTTACTATTTCTCAATCATATTTTTTTAACAATTTTCTATTTTTTATAAATAAACAAGAGAAAAATTTGCATAATTTAGATCAGTCAAATTTGTTATAGAAAGAAGCATATAATAAACAAAATGGGTATATTTTTCATTTGTTAAACATAATTTTTTTTTTAATTTTCTAGTTTCTAATATTACTTTATTATGAATCATGAAAAAAATACCTATTTTCTACTTGTCAAACAATATTTTTTAAAGAAAAAAAAAGCATACACAAAAACTAACTTCAAACTGCGAACAGAATGAATGAAAGAATACGAAGATTAATATATAGTTAATTAATTAATTAATTAATTAATTAATAATAATTAATAATTAATAGTTAATTGATTAAATTCTAAAGATTCATCATCACAGTCAAAAGTCACTAATTAAACAAATTATTTTTATTAAAAATTAATTTTTATTCTCTCAAAAACAAGAGAAGTAAGAATGAAATTTTCAAAGAGCAATTATACTCTAACTAGAATACAATGAAAATTACAATATGAAAACTCCAATTATTCCTAAAATATATGCAAACCTTTCGAAATCAAATTAATTAACATTTATATGCAGTTGGTTCATTCTCTCCCCCCTTTTCTCTCTTAATTCTGTTGAATAGTTTCAACATTTCTAGAGTCGTTAAGATTGTTGAGAACATGTTTGCAAATATCTCGACTATTGCATATCTGAAAATGAAGCTTGATAAAGGGGTGAAGGAGAGGAGAGAGAAAGAGGGGGGTAAGATACACCTAGACAGATTGAGGAAGCGACAGATATATCGAACTAAGTGTAGAGTTATACGGGAAATTAATTAAATCCCTATCCATCACGATTCATCTGCCTATTATTCTTCTTTTCATTCGTTAATTGAAGCGTGAAATTAATAGGAAAATTATTTGTCTCTTCACAATCGATTTTTCCTATTATTTACCTTAGGCTTTGCTTGATTTTATTCAAATAAATCTTGTACGATTTCCATAATATTATCATATAATAAGCAATTTTTTTTACAGAAATAAAATTATGAAAAATAATTACGAATTGTTCGATTGAAAAAAGTAGAAAAATTTTATTCTGCGGATAATTTATAATTTTCATGAAAGGTACTAAGTTACGCCTCGAACTTAATGACCTGTAAGTAACCTAATTTGGTTTAATGTAGCTGACACATTCTAAGATTTATCTTTCTGTAAAATTCAGATATATTTCACTTCACTCTTCATTATGATATTCAAAGTACATTTATTGTAAATCTTGTGAATTCTCAAAGTGCGTTATATTTTGTCATACTAAATATATATTATTATGATCAAATATTTTACATTCCATTCCTCTAATAAAATGTTATAGATAAACTTTAAAACCGCGCACAGTCTGAAAATTCAGGCCACGGAATCTATTATCATGAATTTCGTCTTCCAAGTGCAACTACCATATAAGCCGTGAAGGATTAATTTTGAAATATTATTTGAAATTACCATTAATTAAATTCCTATATAGGGTTTACATATAAACTACCATATCGATCGAGATATAATTATTTATTTTTTATTCAATACATTTTCAATTTTGCTTGTAATTCGAATTTGCGTTTGTAAATTAAAAGATTTTTTCCATTAATTACAAAAAGAAAAGTTTGAAGAGAAATTTATTAATGTAAGATAATCCTTCAGGTAGAGTTATTTATCTCAGAATCTTGAGACTATAAAGAAAAAAAAAGAATCTCTTAACGGAAAAAAGTCCAACATTGGTGAACACAAGATTCGCGCGGAGTTAAAAGAAGGATTTCCTTAGTTCTAAACTTTAAATCCAACAAAATATTCTTTTTATCCAAGACTTTGTTTTCTTCCCCAACAAACCGATTTGTATGAAACTTTTCTAAATTCCAAACTTTCCTTTGATCAAGATTATTGTTGTTATTCTTTTCTAAAACAGTATAAATTTTAAACGAATTTACTTTTCAAAAAATACGTAAATGTAATAAATCGAATAAAAATCGATTTTCAGACAGGGGAAATAGAGACTTTTCCTGATATTATTATTATTATAAGTCAACCACTCATCGCCAAATGTTTACTCGTAATTCTTTGGTATACATTCTGTTTGCCCATTCTCATCTTATCGGCTCTTTTCTTCTTCTATTTTTTTTAAACGGCGAAGCAGGAAGATTCCTTCAAAGATTGCGAGAAATTGAGCTGTGATCGGCAGGACGTGCTGTGAATTTTGAGATTTTTTTCTAAACCGGAAATAGGAGCACGAGAGCTTGGGACGAATAGAAAAAGGGTGAAAAAGGGTGAAAAAAGGGAAAGGACGAGACTTTAATATTGATATGATAGGTTTTACTCTATTATTATTGCAATTAATCGAATATTGAATCTATTAAAAATGTTTGTATAATTCTTTCTATAATTGCGAGCAATAATTGTGACAAGTGCTTCTACTATCATCAACAGTTGTTACGACCACTGTATACCACTCGATACGAAACTAAATTTCTATGAACATGTAGAACAAGAGGCTTTTAAAAAGCGGCAACAATCATGTTTACTGATTTGATTCTGTGCACAGTTTCTGCCCAATTTTTTTATCCTTTATCAGAATAAAGTTCTGACGTACAGAATTCGACCAAAATCATCATTAAAAAAGGGAAGAACTATCTTTAGGCTATTTTCGGTTATTTACAGAAAAATTTCTCTTGTAATATAAAATAATGATTTTATCATTCGGTCACCTATAAAACATGAAGACATCGATGACTCGGAGTTATTTCTTCATGTTTTATAATAAATATTCTTATAAGTTATTGAATTTCAAAAGATTTGAGTTTAAAATTTTTGAAAATCTTAATTCCTATGGAATAATAATGGTTAAATATTTATTTTAAATAAAGCTATTCATGTTTTCGAATAATTTTACAATTATTTTGCGAGAGAATCAAAATATATTCTTTAGAGTCAGGGAAAAAGATAAAATTTTGTCTGGAAATCAGGGAAAAGTTAGGGGAAAAAAATTAAATTGTTTTTTAAAAATAAATTTTTAAAACGGAAACTTCCTTAATTTTCTTTCAGGCAGATTCGAAACCGAAACTATTAATTTAATTTCAGATAAACCCGAAACTGAAAGTATCTCTTAGTTTCGTTTGAGGAAAATCCTTTCCTCTCCTTAATCAAAAATCTCGCGAAATTCAAGCACTTCGTCAGAAACTATTCCGACTCGAAGGCGAGAGTTTCGAAAGCGAGATGAAATCGGAATTTCAAAAACCCATCCACACCCTCTATTTATCATAAATGATGGTAATCATAATAAATGAAACTAGATACACAAAAAAGAGTGTTGTTGACGCAAAAGACGCAAAAGACGCAAAAGACGAAAAAGAAGAAGCGATGAGACGAGACATTTGTGGTTGAGATGATGATGGTTTTAAAGGGGCAAAATGGGGAAAGGGGAGGCTGTGGGGGAGTGTCAGAAGGACGAGAGAAAGAGGTAGATAAAGGGAGAGAGAATCAGTCGACGTGCCGGCAGCAAATTGAACGCACGTTCGCTCCTTTCGGAGCGCGCGAGGCGCTTCTCGTGCCCCATCCTTTCATTAATTACCATCAACATTAATTTATCAAAACAAAGTGATTTTCGACTCATCCAAATGAAATTTCCAAAGTGAGTGCGGACTCGTGTGTGTGTCAGTGTGGCCAAAAAAAAAGTTTATTTATATATCTATATATACACACAGGTATATATGGTGCGGTTGCACGTAAGGTTTTGCATTAATGCAAGAGCTTCCGGGACAGCCGGCGGCATCTTTAGAAACTGTGTCAAGCCCTGATTCCTCAAACCACCACGTGAAATTAATTACAATTTTCTCTGCAAGAAAAAGGAAATCAAAATTTCAAGTGTTTAATTTTTCTCCCACTTTTATTTTTTTTATTTCATTTATTTATTTTCAAGGGTTATAAACCCTGTTTTTAAATTTTATTTCATGTGGATTTGTATAATGTTTCTTGACATTAATGCGACGATTAAATTAACATCATTCAACGATTCAAGACAAGGATTATCGCTATTGGTTTATGCATTTTTCAAAACTCTGCTCGTTTCTCCAAATGGTAAAATATTTTCTTTAGGAACTTTTCCTTTTGGTAAAAAAGTAATGCATACATAGTAGAGAAAATAATTTACACTCGGAATAAAATTCAAATATTTTCTAGATTAATTCTTTTTTAATAGCCTATTAATAGCAATTCTAGCAAATATTTAAGTTCCAGTTCCAGGTAATTATGTTTCTTCTTTGAAACATCTCTTATATTTACATATTTTGTCCATACAATTGTTCCTTTGTTTTGATTTTTATACTTTTATTTTATATTCAGAGAACAAATTCACCTTTGATAACCAAATGACACATAGAAAAATGGTTAACAATTTATTTTAAAAAACGCAGTACCTGTATAAATTTATAAATAATAATTTTTTCCAGTTAGTGATAAAACAGTAATTAATACACATAATAAAATTTTGTTTATTATGCTGATTCAACGCAATAATAATATATAAATATAATTGTGAAATACATAAAATATACATTAAATAACAAATTATATATAATGGAAACTCTAAATTATAATTTATTCATTTTGGAAGGTTAATAATTTTATATGATGAGTATTAAACGTATACCATATCAATATTAAATTTTCAATCTCTGTATTGAGAAACATATAACTAAAATGACAATTAATTTCGAATTATTATTAAATTACTAAATGAATAATTAAGAGAAAATTTCTGACCGACTCACTGTAAAATTTATATTTTTGGAAAATTTATATTGATTTATTTCTTGTAATATTGCTCCCTAATAATATTGTAAAATTGTAAATGTAATTATCACATTTTTAAATTTAATTTAAAATTTTGATCTCAATAAAATTATTAAATTTTTAATAACAATTCTTTTTTGGCAACAATATTACTAAATAAATAAATGGTTTTTTAATATTATTGTTATTTTTATGAATAAAAAAAAGTTTTACTCTTTGTAATATTAATATTAATAAAAATAATAATAACAATAATAATAATAGTTATTGTTTGTATTTAGTAGATTTCTATTTTGACTAAGACCTTTACAATTATTTTATTTATACTTTTTATTATTGATCTATAAATAATAAACAATAAATAGAGATGAAAGAGTAATTATTTATTTATTATAAACTAATTCATTTTATTTATTATTTTTAATAAACAAATTTCGTCAATTAAAAATAATTTCATTACGTACTTATTTCAACCAATTATAATAAAAAATTAATAAACATTTTTAAAAATATTTTTCCTTTTTATTTTTTTTTTCTTTGAAAATAATCAATGTAAAGCTTGAGTCGCTTTTTTCCATTTTTTATTTTTGTTTTATAAATTCAAGTACGTTAATTATACGTTTTCATACGACACTTGATCTCGCAGCATCTCCCGTTCATTAGATTCCGGAAATTGTTTGATCTTATTTCTAAAATTCTCAAAAATCTCTTGTCAGAGAATTCCGGGAGTTTGTGGTTGAAGAGAGTGAAAAAGAGGTTTTAAGGGGAATTGTGAAATATGTCACGTGTGTGTCGATGAATTTCATATATATATCTCTATACATGAAAAAAAACTTTTCCCACTCGAGTATTTTTCAGTTTATAATCTCATGTGACCTTATGACCCTTTCATGTAATAACAATTAAGCTTGTCGGTAATGCTCTTTGGTAAAAAAAAAGAAAATAGAGAAATTGTGTTCGGGGTGGGGATTAGAGAAAAATGTAAGAGAGGTTTGTTCTGCTGGAAAATCCCCAATGGATTTTTCAAAGAAAAGACACATATACAAAAAAAAATTGAAGAATCTATATTATAGTCTTTTAATAAAAATTATAGTGGAATTAAATTCTATATATGAAATTGAGACTGTAGTAATTGAAATTGGTTTTTGTGTCTCTTTTATAATTTAACAAACGTCAATATCCTTTTTGAGATTATATACCCAAATCCTCAGTTAAAATTTAATTAAGTTTATTTTATTTTTATCGAACATTACCTTCTACACGAGAAAATGTATTTTTACCTTAAATTTTATTTCATGACTTTTTTCTTTATCGTTTTTTAATTAGTTTTACGGTTTATATTATATTTATTATTACTTTAATTTTTTTTTTATTTTTAAGTTAGTTATTTAATTTATTCCGTGAGTTAATTATATTTCATTCATTATCTTTTATTAGTTAAATTAGTCTCTTTTATTAGTTTAATTATTAATTTGGTTATTATTTTTATTATTATTAATTTATTTATTTATTCGCAGTAGTAAATTAAAATATTTATTAGATTTATAAATTTGCATTTACCAAATTTTAAGAACAGTAAAATAGATTTTTTTATTGTTTAAAAATTTTACATATTTATTGCCATTTTATTTTTTACTTTTTTCTTTCTTTCAGTTTCAGTTTTGAAAAAAATTTACTATTTTTATTCTTTTTATTATATTCATATATCTTCTGGTATTTTCTACAATACTTTCATTCGTTTCCTGTGTTAAGAAATTTTTATACCTTTTTTATTACCTATTTGTTTTTTCGAATCCTATTTATTTTTGATATACAATTTATTTTCCGTTTTTTTCAAACTCTCATTCTAGTTTTAACAAATTTGTATTTTTATTTTCGACAATTTTCTTTTCCTTCATGTCCGGAAAGTTTTATTTTTTTATTTTGCCTACACTGAAAAAAAAGTTCTGGTTAGGGTATATTTAACACGATATTCTAGTTAAAACAACCAGAATTCTGGTTAAATTAACTAGAATTCTGGTTAACCTAACCAAAAAAAATCTAGTTAGGGCATATTTAACACGAAATTCTAGTTAAAAACAGGTTTTCTGGTAATTCCAACCAGAACTTTTTTTTCAGTGTATATTTTTTATTACTTTTTTTTATTTAAATTTACATTTTTTCCAATTTAGTAATTAATTTCTACATATTTATAATATTTCGTTTTAAATATTAATTTTTCGCATTAATAAAACAAAAAGGTAGAAGGAAATTGCTCATTAGAATGCAAAAATATGAGGGAAAAAAAAGAAAGAAAAATATTTCATGGTAATGTTTTTTTGAATGAATAATGCATATTTTGCATGAACAATAAACTAATTAAATTAAATACGATGTAATCAGGGGAAAATAATGAAACATTATGTACAAATGAATTGTGATTATTTCATGCTTTTATAAACCTTTAAACAGCTTTAATTGGCTAATTTTATTTGTAATTTGAATTCACCTCTTTCTCTATATATCGATATATAGTATTATATTTGAAATATTTCAATCTCCTTCATTTGTATATTCATATTCAAATTTTTACGTAATGTTCAGTAAAAATCGATTTTAACGAACAAAGGAATGAAGGAAAAAAAATTTTCATGTCAAGATAAAAAAAACAGTAGTTTTTTATGAAAAAAGGGAATAAAATTCAGAAATCAATCGTTTAGTTGGGGAAAATTTTTTTTTGTCCTATCCAGGCAACGATTTTCACATTTATGCCAGAATGACGTTTTCGCTATATAAGCATGCCTCGTTGCTTCATTGCACTCCATATTGTGATGATCTAAAACCCGGAATAACGTGAACTTAAGTGCATTATTACCCCATTCCCTGGCTTTCTCTGCTTTTTCTCTCTCCATTTTACGACCGACACACCTTCAATGTCGAATTAGTATACATTACATTAACATTTTATAAGGCAAGGAAACTTTTGTGGAAAAGAAAAAATCCAAAAAATCTTTAAAGAAATTTTTATTTTTTAATTTTTCATCAAAAAGTTTTTTTCTACTTTCGGTGCTTAAGCAAAAAGGGTAAAAGGGAAAAATGGTGAATTTAGGTTTAGATAAGTTTTAGAAGTCGTAATTTAGTACCAATATATTAGCGATAATGGATTAATTCATTTATTAACTAAAGAGGAAATTTTTGGAAAAAGTTTCTAAAAAAAAGGTGAAAATTATACGACTTTCAGAAATTTATTTGAGAGTAGATTAAAAGTTTAATTTAAATTTGTGGGAAGTGGGGAGAAATTACTCTCAAGCAGAGATTAAAAAGTTAAGAATTTAATTAGAATTTTGTCTCGGAATTCACAAAGGCCCAATTTAAATCCCCCTGTCTTGGAAGATATATTTCCACCGCAGCTTTTTGGACCAACACTACTTAGAAAGATGTAGTGCGGTTTAGCTGAGAAGTGGTCTTCCTCCTCGCACATATGTACAGGGTCTTCCCTTTATACTCCACCGTAAATTGTGAACCACGTCACTAGCAGCAAGTGTTATCAATAGTCGACTATCAATTCTCAATTTTTATACAGTTCCACTTGAAATGAGTTCGATATTTATCCTTGGCAAAGAATATCCTTTTTAAGAAGACTCGCCCAACAATGAAGCGAGGAAAAAAATTAACAAAAAAGTGTAAAAAAGGAAAAAGAAATCTTCGCATACAAAAAAGAATATCGTTAGAGGAGAATATTAAATCAGAAATCTTGTATAAAATAAAACAGAAAAAAATTTATCAAGGGGAAATTTTATTTTCAGAATATAAAAAGATAATTGCGTAAACAATTAAGTATATTAAGGGAAATAAAAAGCTATGTAACTACCATTTAAAAAATTTAACAATTGTATAACTGTTCAAATATCTTACTCAAATTATTTATTGTAATTACTGTTTATTAATATCAGTCACCAGAAATTATAATCATCAGCGATTGTAACCACCAGTAATTGTAACTATCACTAATTGTAACTACCATGAAGTAAATACCGTTGATAATACTTATTAGCAGTATTGTTGTAATTAGTTGAAACAACCATAACAAATTCGTAACTATAATTGCAACAACCATTAAACAAGAATAAAATGCAAAACTAATATTGTTTTGCAAAATTTCCAATTCAAAATAAGTAAACAATTAGAATATTCTGTTTTGTGTATAAATTCCATTTTGATAATGCCGTCTGTTAAACATGTTCGTGCCTCATTTTTATAGACAAAACAGTTCAACTGTAATAATTTATTTAGTAAATCTTTGATGT